CATAAAGACAATTCCCACCACTTGTGTACAGGTGTACAAAGAACCCTTTAGCCAGCTTGCCATGTCATTTATAGCCACCAATGGTTGAAAGCAGCTGAACAGATGATCTGCCTACATCAACCAATAAAAATGTAGCATTTTGTTTCCAGTGTAGTTTGAAGAATAATAGGTGAAATACGATAGATTGCTAAAGCAGCATCTACACTTCCAGAAATAACACAATCACCATTCACATTGTGGGGGGTCTGTATCAGGTACAGCTCCCATGAAGACAGAAGACCTCTAAAAACTGGACCTGGGGAAAATAATGATGTTGCCCAAAGCAACCAATCAGATTTTCTCTGTTCTTCCTTATTCTGTATTGGAGAAACGAATCCTGAAATCTGATTGGTTGATATGGATAGCAGGAACCCTGGGCTCCAGTTTTTTTATACGTCGTACCTGCCAGTGTTTGTTCTCAAGGAGGTAATACTGCAAACCCGGTATAGACAAGGATCATGGTGCCCATGAGAATGCCCATGGGGTGTCCATACCAATCCTGGCAGGCACCTCGTAACAGCACACAGATTAGGAATACTGACAGGTATATAAAGATGTGTGCAAAATACAATGCAACAACGCAAAACTCCTGATCATCTCCCACCCTGTACAGTGGCCATGTCCATCAGAACACTCGGCTCTAGTGAGGGATCAATCATCAACCAATGAACCTGCAACAGCAGAAATATGTTAGACGCCATTGCCAACCTGCCTGTGAAGGTGCAACTCCAGAGGCATCACCCTGACACTTGATATGCACATGCTTGTTCCAGGAGAGTCACCGAGTTGTAAAGGAATGATGAGGATTGCCACCCTGGAACATGCACCTTAACAAACAAATCAGCAAGGGGGGATGAAAGATGGAGAAAGAGATGGAGAGGGAAGGAGAAAGGAAGGAAAAAAAAAGTCAAAGGGAGAGGAAGGATGGAAAAAAAGTGAAAAGGAGAGGAAGGATGGAAAAAAAAGTGAAAGGGAGAGGAAGGATGGAAAAATGTGAAAGGGAGAGGAAGGATGGGAAAAAAAGTGAAAGGGAGAGGAAGGATGGAAAAAAAAGTGAAAGGGAGAGGAAGGATGGAAAAATGTGAAAGGGAGAGGAAGGATGGGAAAAAAAGTGAAAGGGAGAGGAAGGATGGAAAAAAAAGTGAAAGGGAGAGGAAGGATGGAAAAATGTGAAAGGGAGAGGAAGGATGGGAAAAAAAGTGAAAGGGAGAGGAAGGATGGAAAAAAAAGTGAAAGGGAGAGGAAGGATGGAAAAAAGTGAAAGGCAGAGGAAGGATGGAAAAAAAGTGAAAAGGAGAGGAAGGATGGAAAAAAAAGTGAAAGGGAGAGGAAGGAAGGAAAAAAGTGAAAGGGAGAGGAAGGAAGAAAAAAAAGTGAAAGGGAGAGGAAGGAAGGAAAAAAGTGAAAGGGAGAGGAAGGATGGAAAAAAGTCAAAGGGAGAGGAAGGAAGGGAAAAAAAGTCAAAGGGAGAGGAAGGATGGAAAAAAGTGAAAGGGAGAGGAAGGATGGAAAAAAAGTGAAAGGGAGAAGAAGGAAGAAAAAAAAGTGAAAGGGAGAGGAAGGATGGAAAAAAGTCAAAGGGAGAGGAAGGATGGAAAAGAGTGAAAGGGAGAGGAAGGAAGGAAAAAAGTGAAAGGGAGTGGAAGGATGGAAAAAAGTCAAAGGGAGAGGAAGGAAGGAAAAAAGTGAAAGGGAGAGGAAAGAAAGAAAAAAAGTAGAGGGAAGGTGGGAAGGAAGAAAGGAAGAAGGGGCAGATAGGAAGGAAGGAAATAACAAAGCAGGAAGGGGAAAGGATGAGGATGGAAGAAAGAGAGTGAGAGAAGAAGGAAGGAAGAAGTGTAGAGGAAGGAAGGAAAGAAGAGGGGAGTGAGGAAGAAGGGTGGGTAAAGAGTGAGGTGTGGGAGAAAGGGAGGGAGAGAGATAGAGAAAGGGAGAGATGGAGACAAAGGCATGGTGGTCATACTTGTAACAATCTGATGGAATGATTTCTTCCCAGACTCGTGTAATACGATCAGACCTATGGATTATTGAAAAGATACAAAATATGTGGTGTTGATCAATTTTGAGTAAAACAGATCAATTTCATTGAAAGGATTCTGATCAGTCCAGAAAGAAAATCAAACAGTAAATTGATCAACAATACGATCATATAAAAAATTGGTCGGTGTATGGCCGCCATTAGAATAAGAGGAGAGAATACAAAGCCAAGAATGAGGGAATTAAACTGTATGAATAGGAGGAGAGGAATAGAAGGATCATAGGGAGGAAGAGAGGGAGTAATGTGGGGGGGGGGAGAGGATAATAGAGGAAAGATGGAGAAAACATTGAATAGATCCTGGGCCCCTGGAGGAGAAGTGGAAGAGATATGAATGGTGGGGAGGATAAAGAATAATATAGGAAAGACGGAGGAAATGTAGAACAGACCCGGCATACTGGAGGAGAGATGGAGGAAACGTAGAATAGACCCCAGGATACTGGAGGAGAAGTGGCAGATAAGAATGGTGGGGGGGATAAAGGATAATATAGGAGAGATGGAGGAAACATATAATATACCCCAGGAACCTGGAGGAGAGATGGAGGAAACATAGAATAGACCCTCGGTATCCTGAAGGAGAGATGGTGGAAACGTAGAATAGATCCCGGGATACTGGAGGAGAGATGGAGGAAACATAGAATAGACCTCGGTATCCTGAAGGAGAGATGGTGGAAACGTAGAATAGATCCCGGGATACTGGAGGAGAGATGGAGGAAACATAGAATAGACCCCGGGGATTCTGGAGGAGAGATGGAGGAAACATAGAATAGACCCCGGGATACTGGAGGAGAGATGGATGAAATGTAGAATAGACCCCAGGGTACTGGAGGAGAAATGGCAGTTAAGAATGGTGGTGGTGGGGGGTAAAGGATATAATAGGAGAGTTGGAGGAAACATAGAATAGACCCCGTGATCCTGGAGGAGAGATGGAGAAAACATAGAATAGACCCCAGGACCCTGGAGGAGAGATGGAGGAAACATAGAATAGACCCTGGGGCCTTGGAGGAGAGATGGAGAAAACATAGAATAGACCCTGGGGCATTGGAGGAGAGATGGAGGAAACACAGAATAGACCCCAGGACCCTGGAGGAGAGATGGAGAAAACATAGAATAGACCCCAGGACCCTGGAGGAGAGATGGAGGAAACATAGAATAGACCCTGGGGCCTTGGAGGAGAGATGGAGGAAACACAGAATAGACCCCGGGGCCCTGGAGGAGAGATGGAGGAAACACAGAACAGACTCCGGGATCCTGGAGGAGAAGTGTCAGATACGAACGGTGAAAAGAGATGACAAAGAGGAAGAGAGGAGGATGCAGGGAGGGAGTGATGGGAAGCAGCCGAACAATCTCCCTCTTTGTTCCAGCAAGCCATAGTAGAATCAAGTATGGAGATAGCCGTGTACCCGCATGTAAAAATATCCCAGTGTTCCTCTACACAGACATACATGGAGGGGGTTATTTACTAAAACTGCATGGTGTAAAATCTGGTTTAGCTTTGCATGGAGACCAGTTTTCATATTTTATTGCCACAGCTTAATTGGCCAAGCTGAGGTTAGAAGCTGATTGGCCGCTATGCACAGCAGCACCAGATTCTGAATGCACCAGTTTTAGTAAGGGTCCCTGTCCAGTAAATCTACATGACCGGAGGGGTGCGTGTAGTCAGCCCATGCATGTAATCCATGTAATACAGCAGACAAGCATGTGAGCTGCCTGTCACACTCCTCCTGTACACCAATCTATTCCTCATTAATGTAAAGCCAGCTCAGCATACCACCCCCCCCCCCCCTCCAAGGCAGGCAATAATCCCCGGGAGCCGGTTAGCAGGCTACATCGTCTGAGCCTTGTGTTGGCGCAGAGGTGAACCTTCCCTTTAAAACACACGTAGAACAAGGCCGGTATCATGAAATTTCATCTTTCAAATAACATTGCCCCCCCCCCCCCCCCCCCCCATCCCCCAGCAAGCATCGCTAGTGGCAGCCTCCATGGAACCGAGGGCACATTTGGCATGGCCTGCAGCAATTGCGCTCTATCTAGCATTACAACACATTAAAAACAAGTCTTTGCCAAAGATAACCTCCCCCCTGACAAGGTCCCTAGCATAAATAAATCACTCAGCAGGGGATTTCCTGACTGCCGAAAAAAAAAAAAAAAACCGAAAGAAGAAAATGACCCAATTTCAGCATAATGCAAAATTGTTCTCGTAATCTGCACGACTGGACTGCAAACGCTCCCTATCAGATCGGTGTTATGGATCTGAAAGTAACTTCTCATGCGGAATTGTACTGGTGGTACCCCACATGAAAGGAAATGAGCAATAAAGCAGACGTATTGTTACCGATGTGGTGTTATAAAACCAAAGTCTAATCCATATATCGTCACATTCGTGGATGCAAAGGAACTGAAGAAGTCCAACAGGGCCCCATAACGATCCTCCTGCCTCAGCGGCCTCTTTAATCCTGCAAGCTTGCTGACTCCAACCACAATTGGCCGGATGGAGAAGATGGGATTGAAGGCTCTTGACGTTGACTGGCCAATTCAGGTTCCTTATCGTACATTTGTACAGAAAAAATAGGAAAGGTTTGGGGATTCGCTTTGGAATGAGTATGAGCAGCCACTACCAAGGTGTAGTGAAGAAAAAAAAAAAAAAACAACGTGCAGCCCTCGGAGAATACTAAGTGGGAAAAAGAGGTGGTGAGCGTCAGGCACTTTTTGGCCTACAAAATAAAAGATGCACGTTGGATGGTGGCCAAGATGCCTCGAATTTCCACCACTGTTCAACGTAGGCAATGCACAAAAGGTTGAATGTGGTCCCGTTTTGTTTTCTTTTTTTTTTTGGCTACTGGATCAAGGTTGGCCAGCAACATTATGTGTAGGATCTGGCCTTCAAGTGCTGTGAAAGAGCTGGACCTGGTCTCTCCATGGACAGTCACCGGTCTAATACTCTGGAAAACTCATCGCGGTTGCCCTCGTTTTTTAGGTCAGCAAACACCTGGGTGAAAGTAATGTGGGTCAGCGTTAATTCTCAACATCTTGGCACTCATGGCATCAATGATGCAAAGACATCGGTCCCAGAAGGCATCCTTGCCGGCTTCCACCAAGAAAGGCTTGAGAGGGTAAGATATCTCATTGCCCATGTAAGAGTAGGAGAGATACAGGCAGGTCAACAGAGTGGCCTGCAAGTCATGTTCAGTGGCCACAGAGTCCCCGTCGATGACATCCCTGCAAAGCAAGTAGACAAATACTACGTTGGCGGGGGAGTGACGAAGGCCTGGTCTTGCCAGCCTTGAAGAAGTAAGGAGCGGTCCACGCTGCGCAGCCATAGAATTGGGTCTGTTGGTGACAAATGTTTCAGCCGGTAACACCTCCTACAAAGGAATTCCCCAAGGCATTTGAGTAGTTCTCCGGTGGAGGCTTGGACTATAACCCTCTTTGGAGAGCCACCACCAGTAGTGTTGGAGACCTTCTTGATGGAGGATATCTGCTTGGACGTGAGCGGGGCAAGGGGCTGACTGTCATAGCTGGAGAGATTGGCACAGGATAAGGACTTTTTCACATTCTCGTGGTTTAAATGGGCGACGTCTTTCTGGTAATTGCTGTTGGCGGTTCCTTTCCTTGAGGTCTTCTTTTTGGTCGAGGCCACCAGCCTTTTCCAGGTCAGCGCAGGGATAAACATGGAGTGCCGCTTTAAACCCTTATCGGGCTTCTGCCCGCTGCCCTTGCTGACACTGGTGTAATGCGCCAGGGATCCAGAACCATCGTCGTAGAGGCTCGCCTTCCGGGAACCCGGAGACAGAGAGAGGACCGTGCCCATGCTAACGAAGATCTTCACCAGAAAACCGGGGGAATGGGAGGAGTCTGAGCAACCTCAGAGGAAAGCAATTAGTCCAATAAAGATCCAATCTTCACGGGGAGAATTAATTACCAGCGGAGGAATGAAACTGGCAGTTCTTTGTTGCCTGCATTGCAGGACACATGCAGCTTTCTCCCCCGAATACGGCACGCTGGTGGTAAACAAGAGCTCAGTGGTCTCTTCTTCTTTTCCCTTCCCCCCCCCCCCCCCCCCCCCCCAACGCTCCAATGAAAGTCCTTTCAAAAGAAATAATTCAATTAGCCAGCTGATTCATTAGCTGTGGGTCTCCCGTGATGTGGAGGGGGGGGGGGGTGGGTGATGGTATTAGTCAGATGCTGCACGGTGGTCCTCCTTGCAATCTGCGATGTGGACTGCAGATAGCTGGAGGGGAAGGGGGTGGGGGGGGGGGGGGGTTGATGTTGCCAAGGATGAAATGGAATGTAGATAGAGATTGGCTCACTCGCACCTTCAACAAATTCTATATTGATCTGTCCTTGGTTTGCTCATTGCAAAATACTAACTGTGAGCGGCGTTGATGAAGATAGCCAAGCCTCGATCTTTGGTGGGGGTGGTGGCAATATGGACCGAGCCTGCGTTTATGCAGAATGAGCCATTGGTCTTTGGATAAAAGAGGACCCACCTAGATAAAGGGGGGGGGGGTATTGGTGAGGAATAGCAATCCGTAGTGAGCTTTGGATGATCCAGCCTTTGTAGTGCAGTCCAGGCGGGGAGCGTTGGGGGGGGAAACGAAAAAGAGGGGGTTGTCCAGCTTTTGTCAGACGAGGGTCTTGGTACCTCCGTGATGCTGAAGCTGATGCAGGCAGGGGGGGGGGGGGGGGGGGGTCTTCCCTTAGGATGAAGGCTGATGAGCGAAGACAGTCTACTGGATGGACATGCGGCACCCCAATGCAGCCGCCCCCCCTGAGACCTGAGCTGTCAGTGGTTGCTGGAGGTGCAGGGCAGCGCAGATCTGCCGCATTGGTCAGGGGGAAGGCAGTGCTGAGCATCTGATGAGAGACAGGAGACACTGAAAGGAGAGGGCTGATCCTGAGTCTCAGCTCACAGACATCTCCATGCGGCTGATCCAACCAGCTCTGGCCTTCCAAGGGGGGGGGAGAACACACGGGCATTGTGATTTGCTGACAGCCTTGCAGCCAGAGCCCCCCTCCTGAATGGAGATGTCAGTGCCATTGCAGGAATAGTAGCGCCACCTGCTGGAGCCCCTCTGGTAGGACGCTTTTGTTCCAAGATGCAAATCTCGGCACGCTACAATGTAAACAGATGGTTCGCCGAAAAGAGAAAAACATCGAATCAATGAAAACGGCGGCAAACCGGTCACACGGGTCAGGACTATCCCATCGTTTCTCCCTGACGCATCCTTACTCTATTCACCTTCTATGCTTCCAGTAAATAAGGCGGTAATTGGAACCACGCAGCGTGCATTATTATTGTGCGTACAACATGCGTCCGCTGGTGTGCAGTGAGACTGTGCGCTGAAGTGCTTTATTTTCCTCCTTTTTATATGTTTCCAGATTGTAAGGGCTTGTTAAACCACAAAGTGCGCATTATTGTGTGTATAGTGCGCATGCACTGGTGCGCAATGAGAACGCATGCTGCAATGCACACAGCGAGCGTTCTAATGCCTATACCATGCATGCACTGGTGTACAATGAGAACGCATGCCGCAATGCACACAGAGAGCATTCTAATGCCTATACCATGCATGCGCTGGTGCGCAATGAGAACGCATGCCGCAATGCACACAGCGAGCGTTCTAATGCCTATACCATGCATGCGCTGGTGCACAATGAGAACGCATGCCGCAATGCACACAACGAGCGTTCTAATGCCTATACCATGCATGCACTGGTGTTCTTGAGTCCCTCCATTGAGCCTGCGTTGTCGAGTTCCTCCATTGAGCCTGCGTTTTTGAGTCCCTCCATTGAGCCTGCATTCTTGAGTCCCTCCATTGAGCCTGCGTTGCTGAGTCCCTCCATTGAGTCTGTGTTCTTGAGTCCCTCCATTTAGCCTGCGATGTTGAGTTCCTCCATTGAGCCTGCATTGTTGAGTCGCTACACTGAGCCTGCATTGTTGAGTCCCTCCATTGAGCCTGCGTTGCTGAGTCCTTACATTGAGCCTACATTGTTGAATCCTTACATTGAGCCTGCGTTATTGAGTCCCTCCATTGAACCGGTGTTGTTCAGTCCCTTCATTGAGCCCTGCGTTGCTGAGTCCTTACACTGAACCTGTGTTGCTGAGTCCCTCCATTGAGCCTGCATTGCTGAGTCTTTATATTGAGAATGCATTGCTGTGCCCCTCTATTGAGCCTGCATTGTTAAGTCCCTCCATTGAGCCTGCATTGCTGAGTCCCTCCATTGAGCCTGCGTTGCTGAGTCCCTCCATTGAGCCTGCGTTGCTGAGTCCCTCCATTGAGCCTGCATTGTTGAGTCCCTCCATTGAGCCTGCGTTGTTGAGTCCCTCCATTGAGCCTGCATTGCTGAGTCCCTCCATTGAGCCTGCATTGCTGAGTCCTTACATTGAGCCTGCATTGCTGAGTCCCTCCATTGAGCCTGCATTGCTGAGTCCTTACACTGAGCCTACGTTGTTGAGTCCCTCCATTGAGCCTGTGTTGTTGAGTCCCTCCATTGAGCCTGCATTGCTGAGTTCCTCCATTGAGCCTGCATTGCTGAGTCCCTCCATTGAGCCTGCGTTGCTGAGTCCTTACATTGAGCCTGCATTGCTGAGTCCCTCCATTGAGCCTGCATTGCTGAGTCCTTACACTGAGCCTACGTTGTTGAGTCCCTCCATTGAGCCTGTGTTGTTGAGTCCCTCCATTGAGCCTGTGTTGTTGAGTCCCTCCATTGAGCCTGCATTGCTGAGTCCCTCCATTGAGCCTGCATTGCTGAGTCCCTCCATTGAGCCTGCCTTGCTGAGTCCGAATATATGAAATTAATTCCGAAAACGAATCATTCAAACATAATGAATATGATGAAGCAAAATTCAATAATTTAACGAATCAATCCGAAATGAAAGAAAACAAACATTTCCGTTGTGCACATCTCTAGTACACTTCTCCATTTTCATAGTAAAACAATCCAGCAGCTGAAACACGTTTTTGGCCTCAATAGGAACATGTGCAGACAGAAGATCAATGTGGGGGACATTCACCAAAACTGGAGCACTCAGAATCTGGTGCAGATGTGCATGGGAGCCAATCCGCTTCTACACTCAGCTTCAGGGGTGGACTGACCATTTGGAAACTCGGGCACTGCCCGAGGGCCCGGGGTCAGTAGGGGGCCCCATGAGATGCCCCTGGTACCTTTTTCATAGGCTTTTTTGAGTGTGGGCAAGGACACAGGGCCCCCATGATCCCCTATTGCCTGGGGGCCCCATGAGTTGTCAGTCCACCCCTGCTCAGCTTGTTCAGTTGCCCCTGGTTCAAATCTGTGCGGGTGGTGCCGCTGCGATTCCACACAAAAATCCGTGCAGCCGCACCACCCGCACAGAGGAATGCGGACCCACGGGCGGGTGCCATTACTTCTAATGGCACGCCGCCCAAACTGGAAGTCGCAACCGTACTGGGAACAGAGGTTCCTGTGCAGGCTACGTTTTCCGAAGAAGTGCAAGGACTTCTTCTCTACGTGTCCCGGGGCAAATGAATGGGCTCTCGTGCCCGCGCAAAGCTCGGCCCGCAGGAACTCGGAGATGTGAACCTAGCCTTAAGCTTTGGCAGTAAATCCTGGAAGATGATTGGTTTCTGTGCAGAGCTGCTCCAGATTTTGCACTCTCCTGTTTTAGTAAATAACCCCCCATGGAGTCTCTGAAGTAAATTGTGTGGTCACTACAACCAGCTGTTTTCCTTAGACTTAGGAGACCTCTATCTGCGAGTCTCAGGAGACCCTGCCTTTCGATCCTATTTTCCCTTTGCAATTGGTAAGGACCACTACAAAATCACCTACCTTCCTTACGGACCCTCATGGTGTCCAAGGACCTCTACATCAATGGTCCCTGTGGTGAAGTGGGCAGAGTAGCGCATGCAACTCTTTCAACATCTCCAGCTACTTCTGCCTATAGCTGCTCTGCTGAGGTAAAGAGCAGGGCCAGGACAAGGGGTTGGTGGAAGGGGTGGCTGCCCTGGGCGCAAAGGTTTACTATAGGGATGAGGGCACCTTCCTTCTGTTACAAGGCTGACAGGCACCACTACTTCTATCAGCCCAGCACTAGGATCCCTAAGTTTGAACATGATTAATGGGGAGGGGGGGGGGGGGGGGGGGGGGTCGCGTGGTTTTTGCATCTTTGCCTTGGCCACTGGATGACCTTGAGGGATAAGAATTTATCATTACCCCAATGACATCTTCCTGCTGGCTCAAGACACAGACCTTCTCCTTTCAAGCAACGATGAGGTTCAACAAATCTGAACCACCCTTGGATGGGTGATCAGTTGAAACGAAAATGAGCCCAATCCAAGACTTCTAGTTATAGTCATATGAGTTGAGTTTCTTTAGCGATGTCCTCTTCACATCTCAGAGCCTCTACGTGTCTAAAAATGATAGTCACAATGGTGGAAGTGATCCCCAGGGTGAAGTGGGCACAGTAGCACATGCGACTCTTTCAATGTCTTCCAAGGACTTTTACAAAAGAACTTTAGCAAATAGTTTCTCTCTTGAGACAAACCAGGATGAGAATTCATCATTAGGTGAAGGACATCTTGCTGCTGGCCCAAGACACAGATTTTCTCCTTTCATACAATGATGAGGTTCAAATGTGGACCACCTTTGGATGGGTGATCAGTTCGAACAAAAATCAGCTGAAGGCCTTTGATTCACCTAGAAGTCAAGGCTTCCAATTCCAGTCATAAAGAGTTTGTCTAGTGGAATCCTCTTTGCAACTCAGAGCCTCTAAGTGTCTAAAAATTAAAGGCACAATGGTGGAAGAGATCCCCATGGTGAAGTGAGCACAGT